TCCAGACCCAATTCATTGAGGATGAGGTGTTGTATATGCCTGGAAGTGTACGTAGTGGCTCTGGTTTGCTGCCATAGTAGGTAGGATTCATCATTCTCTTTTGAGATTAGAAAGATATCGACTCAGCTTAGAATACTCTTAAACAGACTGAGAGTTTATTCAACTTCCATCTCGCGTCTCTTGCTGCCTGCAGCATTTAAATTTGTGAGGAGGAGGTACTAGTGCACTGGTTGTCAATTGTCCTGCTCATCAGAATGAGCTTCAACCTCTAGTTGGAGAAAGCTCTACTTTTGACTGTAGAGAGATTAGTTATTTGAGCCATGACACTGTTAACAGTTCATTTCATCTCGAGGAGTGAACTAGAAGTCTGTACACGTGGAGCATGTATTCTGTATATGGCCATGTAGGCTTTCTTGGGTACGGAAATACACGAGGAATTGCTTTAATTGTGTTGATTCTGTGGACTTTTCATACTCTTGTCAGGAAACTGCTTAAAAATTTTGTATATGTTGCTTGTAACAAGCTGGTTGCTCCTGGAATTCCTTCTGATCTGGTTTTTGTCGGGTGTCTAGTTGAATTGGTGATAGGTGGTTTTGTTAAAAATGTTAAGGACAAAAGCTAGATACCTTTTGCCTGTGGACGATTCTTACAATGCCTGTACGAACATAATTTCTCGAAGATACATTCAATTTACATTAAATATAATGTAACTCTTCATAAGATGAGAAACAGCAACATTAAGGATAGACTCAAAGAGGTCCCAACTGCGAGAACTCTAACTACATCTGGCAACCAACTTAGTTCTACGTTACTAGTATCAGTCACACATAATTCACCCTATAGGTACAACTTTTGAGCACCACCCTATCAATGGACAATGGCTCTGGCGGGAAGTCGCAAGCTGTAATTTTTTTCGGCCCTTGGTCAGGTAACAGGTCACATGGCCGAGGGCTTACTCCGCTTGTGATCCCCTCAATGTCAGTGCAAGTCCATGGCACCTTCTTAGCCTTGGCTGCCAGTCCAATGGTGACATTCGATATACAGATTTGCGTAAATGGATCACCTTCAATTCCTTCCAACCTGGCCGCCATCGACGCATTGTCCGCCACGACGTCTCTGTAATTGATCCCTTGAATCACGGGCAGTGCATTGGGGTCGTAGTGATTATCAGCATGCGCTTTATAGTTTCCTGTCATCCAAAACACCCATTTCATGGTGTGCAAAGTCATTCTCTTCACGTATATGTCTTTTACGAACCCTCCTCTTCCTCTAGCAGTCTTGATCCTGACCCCAGATTCTGTGTGGACGGCGGTGATGTCTTCTGCTCTGACATCCTGGATTCCACCCGACATCTCGCTTCCCAACGCAATGGCTGCGCTGTAAGGAGAAATGCATGTCAGCCGCCTGATGACTAATTGTTTGGTGGGCATCCCGAATGAAATGCCATACTCATCCCAACCACTCTTCACTGCTATGCAGTCATCTCCTGAGACTATGTAGCAGTCCTCAATTCTAACATTTGTGCAAGAATCTGACCATCAAATCAAAACAAACAATTCTTAGAGATTGATCACAAGTTAATATTGCTGGCTTCAAAGTAAAAATTAATACCAGGATTGATGCCATCCGTATTTGGAGATGTGATAGGAGCAATGATGGTAACGCCTTGTACAAGAATATTACTGCATCAACAGAAACAAAAACCAAGAATTAATCATGTCTCTACGTCGTTTCCACGTGGAGGGATGTGATTGAAGAAGCATAAACTGCTTTTACCTGCTGTAAACTGGATGAACATTCCATGTTGGGGAGTTGAGAAGAGTTAAATTTGATATCTGAATATTATCAGAGTACATGAATTCGATTAGGTAAGGTCGGGTGTATTTCAGTTTGCCCTTGTGGAAATTTTGCCACCAGAATGCACCTTGACCATCAATTGTACCATTGGCCCCTGATAAACCAAGATTATATATAATATATGTAGAGTCCATTAATCAGCTTGAATTGATGCAAATAAAACAAAAATAAAAATTTACCTGTAACAATGACGTCGGTGAGATTAGTTCCAAAAATGAGGCTGGTAAACCTTCCTCCAGCTGCATCCCTTCCTCGACCATACGATGGCAATGGCTTCAAAACAGGCCACTCGCTCATATCCTAAACCAAGTGGTTAGTCAAAGAGTTAGTAAGGTTAGATAAAATGGACCAACGCTGTCTGGGCTACCTAATACAGCACATAATTCGAAATCACCTACTAACAGTTAGTAGTAAAGAATTAGTGGACTGTGATTTTGGCACATAAAAAGTCGTCTATGGCAGTCAATTTCACGTCTGAAATTGCCTGTGTTTGGGATTTCTGAGTCTTGGTTAGGTGCAAGTTTGCTAGAATTTCAAGTCCTATAGTTGTAGTGACACCTGGAAAGAGGAATATCTTTCATGTCAAAGATTGCCCTTGTTTTGCTCTAAACAGAACCTTATTATTCCGGCCACCTGGAGTACATCGGACTTCTAGCACGTTTCCAACATAAGTAAAAGTATACGAGGTTAATAACCTGAAACATGAATTTGGTGCAACTTTCAGTAAGCAGTAGAAAAAATGATGTGACGAATCAAACCTGAGAAGCAAGGAGAACAGCATCCTTGTGAAGATAAAGAGTGAAATGGCTGGTGAGGCTAAAGCTACCAGTCAGCCATTGTCCAGCAGGAACATATAGCTGAGCCCCCCCATCGGATGCATACTGGCTGAGACGATTAACTGCATCCTGAAATGCTTTAGTATTTGATGTTTTCCCGTCACCAACTCCTCCAAAATCAGTTATTGATGCAGTGTGTTCTCTGCAACTTATAGCTGTGTACTCAAAGGACTCCAGTGTCCTTCCTTTCCTGGCCTCAGCTCCTCTTAGACCCGAGATTGCCACCAGAATAAGGACTGTGGCTATCTTGGTTACCTGCAAGGTCAAGAAGGTAACAGAGAAGAGAAAGTAAGTACCCATTAGATGAACTCATGAGGAAATGATGAGCCAATTAACATGGTTTAGTATGACTTTTTTTGTTAAGGGGAAGTTAGAAGCTTGGTTATGAACCAGAATGGACAAATGGGAGCAAAAAAAAGACCATGTCAAGAAACACAAAAGGTTTTGGTACAAAAATGCAGGGAAATGGACTGTCAAGTGATTAACCACCACTTGGAAAAAAAAATCAAGCTAGAATGAATATGCTTTGTTTGTAAATGGAGGAAGAAGGAAACAAGATGGAGAAAAGGTGTGAAAGATATATTACTAGGATTCTCATTGGACTCAACCCTAACAACTCCATTGTTGGAAATGAAGACCAGAACTTGCTTTGGGTGATGTGTTTGCTAGACAGACAAATGATGCATATATAAGGTGAAAAGTTCACTGTAGCAATTGGATAGGTTCACGTTTTCAGCTATTGGGACTTCTTGTCCTGCTTCAAAGTGAAGCATTGTTTATAATGGTTGTACTTTAAAATTGTTCAGCTGATCTTCTTTTTCTCTTTTTTAATTTGAGAAAGGAAAC